AACATAATCCCGCAAGTTCACATTTTTTGTGAGATTTTCTGAGACTGTGTTCCGCCATCTTGAAAATAACTTCTAAATATGTGAAACAAATTTTTTGTTTTTAAAAAAATCTAAATTATTGGTAAAAGATGAAAATGTGAACAATATCAGTAACATAAAATCTCTGATAACTTTGCCATATTATTTAAACAATATGAAGGAAATCGACCAACACCAAGGGCCTTTTAAATTATGCGCAAGGGATTGTGGGTCTGGATGGGAAAAAATTCTATTTTTAGAGCAGCTTATCCCTATAATAAAAGTTTCTGCCCATATATATCATAAGATGAAATGAAAAATGAAAAAAAAAAAAAACATGATTACATACATTCCATTTAAAACAGTAATTTAAAATATCTGCACCAAGAGTTGTCTTTATTTTGGCTAATTCATAAAATTATACATACATACTATTATACTATACATTAAAAAAATATTTCATTAAATTGCTGTTCAACAATTTTTTTTTATTAAGTTCATTCTTTTAAAAATGTTTTTAATTAACCGGCTATTCAGAGACCCCTTCATCAAAATAGCACTTATTTAAACAATAACATATCATAAAATCATTATCATTCATGGGACACTAATTTTCGTGGTTTTTGTGGATAGGTCAATCCACAAATTTAAAATCCAACAAAATTTCTTTTCGTCTGCTGTAAGATTTTTTTTGCATCACATTTTTGACATTTAACCTTTTAGGAAAATAATCAGACAACAAATTTAAGTACCCATAAAAATGTTTTTGTGACAAAGCCACGAAAATTCATGTCTATGAAATTAAGTGAATTCTCAGTACCATGCAAAAACAGATAATTAAAGAATCTCACCTCATTAATATATCATCACCCGAGACCAAGAATGGGTTAAGTCCCTTTGAAATTTAATAGGAGTTAACCCGTTACTGCACTTATGTGACGATATATACTACATTGTAAATTATTTTTGATTTTCTACATAAAAAAAGTAACAATGGAAACTCTGTAATGTTTTACTTCTGCTTATATATTTTTATAACATATTGCACATTTTAATCCCATATCTTACGCAAACTACTTCAACTGAACAAAAATCTTATATTTATAAAATACTGGTAAAAAATTACAAGAAATTTGAAGAGTAATTGTTAAAACCACTCCATAAGAATATTGCGCAGTACAAAATATTTCATCGTATCAGAGTACCAAAAAAATTCAATATTTGATTGTAAAAAGAATGTACAAAATTTTCACTATTGCAGCTTCACAAAGCTATTAGCACTTCTGTTGCAAAATTTCAGCTAAATAAATAACAAACAATACATGGTATATATCAAGGGACAGTCCCCGTACCACTTTACTTTGGAAAAAAAGTAAGTATAAGAATAAAGCTACAAGAGGTAATGGCACATGTTCTTAAGCTATAACTATTTTTTAAAAGGTAAGATACAAGTCCTTAAATGTTTTCGAACTCGGACAATATTTTACAATTCTTCTATATCAAAAGCTGCAAGTGCAAATGGTATAAAATCAGCATTCCCTAGCTTTGACTAAAGTGGCATTTAATTTTATACCAGTAAAAGTAACGGAAACAAAGATCACATAGAATCAGAAAAAATACAACAACACTAAGATGAAGCAAGGGCGATATTTACGGCCGCCACCCACTGTTGTGAGTTTATTACAAAAGCTGCAAGTGGAAAAGCCAGAAAAAACTACTGGTACTGGACTATCCTCGCACTTGATCATAGAACAAGAGCCAAGATAATGCAGAAGTTAACAAAGAGGAATAATCTTAGTTTGAATTAATGTAAAAGAGTTATGGGTCTTGGTCAAAAACCTAACATTATGTCTCTGAAGACACATGTAAAATTTCAGTAACAAATGAGATCTAAAATTGCATGCAGAACCTTAAGCAAGTTTTTCACCGATTCCTGTGCAAGAATAAGTAAGATTTCGCCACTATTAGAACCATAAAACTAAACAGGAAATAAGATATGCCTAGGTTATTCAAGAGAATTTGAAGTTTTAACTCTTACCATGCAAACTATCTTAAATGGGCTTACTCAATTTTTCCCATGTGGACAAAACCAATTATCATTTTCATGGAGAAATTTTCAAAACGAGGTACTGACCTAATAGCAAACAGCGCAGACCATGATCTGTACAGATGTGTCTGCTGATCTTGGTCTGCACTGGTTGTTTGGGTAAACTCACTTGCCACCAGCAGGACAAAAGCTATTTTAAGTGTACACTTCATAACATTTAAATGAAGTCATTTTATAAACTCTACATGCAACAAACATTGCAAGTCATGTGACATGGTAACAACAAATAGATTAACAATGATAAAAACTTTCATACAGACAAGTTTAAAGAAAGAAATACTAAAACAAATATGTACAATTTTAAGACTTAGTAACAACAATTTAATCTGTAAATAGATGGCTATAGAACAATTGAGCAAACTTTTTGATAACTATAATATAAAATATACTCCATTTTTTCTATTTCAATTACAAAATTATTTCTCTATTTATAGAAAATCTAAATATAGTTTCATGATTCTGATCAAGAAAAAAATTTCAAAAATATATCACAGATAATTCTGAACTGTTTGTTTTTAGAACTGGAACTTAAAAACAAAATTGAGCCGCGCCCTGACAAAACCAACATAATGCGTTTGCGAACAGCATGGATCCAGACCCGCCTGCGCATCTGCACAGTCTGATCAGGATCTACGCTGTTCGCTATCAGTTTCTCTACTTGTAATAGGGTTTGTAAGCGAACAGCATGGATCCTGATCAGACTGTGTGGATGCGCAGGCTGGTCTGGATCCATGCTGGTCGCAAATGCATTACGTTGGTTCTGTCATGGCATGGCTCAAATGTTTACTTCATATAAAGAGAAGGCTTTTCATCGTAACAGTAAAAGAAAATATCACTCTAAGTATTCCAATCAAATAACATATTGTCACCTTACTGTAGTAACGGGTTAACTCCTATTAAATCATATAAGGAGTTAACCAGTTACTGCACTAAGGTGACGATATTATATGAAAATTCTTTGCCCTGGACACAGATGCCATTTAATATTTTAACATAAAACAATTAAGCTCACTTTTGTTTAAATTAACATACATTAACAAGGTCAAATATTACACAAAACTCAACATGTAACTATGCAAAATAAAGGCCTGAATATGAACTGTGACCTTGGATATATAAGTTCCACTTTTGTGCATTCCACTATTGACCTACACACATGTGTCCTTGACCTTGACATGTGTCGTTGACCTTGACATGTGTCCTTGACCTTGCAGTCTTGTCTGACCTTGTGGGATACTGACCATACAGATACAGCAATTTTTTATGTCTACTCAGCATTAAGTTCTGTTTCTGACCTTGACCTTATAATAAAAATCATAATCAAGTGTCTTTAACCTTGAAAAATTACGGTCTGTTCTTCCTGTGTTATACTTGCCAAGTAGGCAAAGAAACTAAACTTGTTTATGTTTCGCAACATGAAATTTTAGCTTTTCAGATTTGTTTTGATACTTCTTATCTTAAATTTTGTTTTCAAACAAAGCTGTAACCTTTTATTGTGACCTTGACCTTGTTAAACACAGCAGTCCTGTTTGAACCAAAATCTAGTCAATGTTTAAAGTTGCCATGAGTCCCAACTTACAGGCATATGTTACCTATCTAACAGTCCTATATGTTTGTTCTTTAATATGAATAAGCTGCATATAAAATATTGTTTCTTTGCCACTTATGGCCAGATCACCAAAATTTTGCTTGTCAGATTTTTTTTAATGGTACACTATCTCTTCCTTTTCATGTTTCCGGGCCTGAAAGGAGTCGCTACTTTTCATGTTTCAGAGCCCCTAAAGAACCCCCAAGACATTTGCTTGTGTTGAAATATAAATATTCTTCTGGCTTTTATCACTAAACCACTAATGTTTCATATTTTTATCAAACTTGTTATAAATAAATGGGTTAAAACGAAATTCACATAACTATCCATTTTGAAGAAAACAAGTCAAAATTGGCAAACAAACAATTTTTTAAAGGTGGTTGAATAACAACACTTTATGAATACTATTCTAGCACTATTATGACAGAAAAATGGCAGAATAAAACATATAACCATATAGGGAAATAGCCTAACTCCTATCTATATGTAAAAAACTACTACAATTTAATCTATATGTAAAAAGTTATTCATTCAAAATTTAAAAACTGGTTAAAAGATAAGTTGTGACTTAAAACCACAAACAAATAACAAAATACAAAATGTATTGTAATAGAAAGTAATATTAATATTCTTAATATTAAAAGAAAAACTAAAAAAAGACACTCGATGAATTTCAAACACTAACATCTAAAATATCAAACTCTATTTCGAGTGGTCACCTGTCAACAAAGACCACCCGTTGATGTGACTGGCCAATATTGGCAGTTGTCTATTTTCTAACAACAGGTTTTTATTTTCATTTGGCATTTATTCAATATATACAATATATAATTATAATAACTTAAAATTTAACAAGAGGGCCATGATGATCCTATATCGCTCACCAGAATTTATAGAAAGAGTGACAAAAATAAGAAAAGTTTTCTCTATGAATATTGGAAACACAACCCCAACAGACAGTCTTGGAAATGTTTGTTTAATTATATCAATTTATCACACACCCGTGCCGATTTTACGACTACGTAAATATGGTATTGCACGGCTGTGCATATATTTTCACATGACGTCATAAGCGTTATACAAACATAGTGTAAAGACGTGCTAAATGTTAGCGTTATACTTTAGGCACGTCAATGAAAAATGACTCTTATTTCACTATAAACAGTCTTTATTTTGGGTATGTGATAAATAGAATATCAAATTCGTGTAAGTTCAAATGACGTCTTAGTTAAATCTGTTGGTCAGAAATAGAGGATATTGAATGAGTGTAAGTTCAATACTGAATATATTGCACTCATTGAATAAAATAATATTATGCTCGCCAGAGGCTGGCATAATATAATTTTATTCAACTTGTGCAATAAATTCAGTATTGAACTTACACTCATTCAATATCCTCTATTTCTGACCAACAGATTTAACTAAGACGTCATTTGATTCGTATATTTTCAAAAATGTGACCCATCCTGTAGTAGCCATCTTTTTTTTTAAACATATTGAGGGTTGACTGCCCCGGCAGCTATAGTTCTACATGAAATGGCATTTCTTAAATTAAATTTGAAAAGAGGGTCAGCCAAGGAACAATCCTATGAAGTTTTGATGATATTGACCTAGTGGATTTGGAGTAGATGTCGTTTTAAAGAAAAGTGTCGACTGGTATACGATAAAAGGACGGACAACAGACAGTGAGCGATCAATATAGGCTCTCTGTTACCATGGTGAGCTAAAATTAAACAACAAACTTTGGTGATTTTCTTGTAAGTTTTGGTTTAGCACAAGGTGTTTATCACTAATAATAACATCTCTAACAGGGTAACGTGAACACTTTACAAACAATATCACCATTTTAACTACATGAATCTAACAATTATTTGAATCGCACAATACCTCAAACATTCTACAACATGGTTGGAACTATATGTAGGTCTTTAAAGTTGTTATGCTGCTAACATAATACGCCAAGAATTCAAAGCAATACTATCTTATTCGTATCGTAACCTGACACAACAACAAATTATAATGCCAGAGGTTTAAATTCTTAATCTGGACATAAATTTTCACATTAAAAATTTTATCTTTTGTTTGTACATACAAGCTTTACTACACAAAAAAAATGCCCATACGTATTTTATGATAAGTTTCATAATTTCCTGGGTTTTTCTCCAACATAAGCACTACTACAATGTCAAAATAATGAATTTTCCATACATATGATTTAGTTAATTTTTAATCATTCTTCAAAGGGACTTTACTTCCTTATTCTGATTCCGCACTTTTTTCTGTTCCATTCGTACCAGCATCATCATTGTCTTGAATGCACCGGTTAACGGGTGGCGTAACATGTTCCGGTACACGGTTTTCCGGTTTTGTCAACATCCATAGTAAATCTTTATACTGCTTAGGCCAGTAATAAAACAAGCTATTGTAATTATCTAACATCCAGTTTGGAATAATATCCTGCACCATACCGGGGAAAAGTAATGGCACAAACCGGTTACATCTCTGACTACTTTGGATATACTCCCGGTACATTAGTCGGTAAATATTTTTTGTATGAAGTCGGTATGGCCTGTTGTTTAAGTCGTTTTCTCCGTCGCTGTCAACACTGTCCGAGTCGTCGGCATCGTTTTCCATCTCGCAAGAGTCCGCTTCCATTCTGTACTTCGGTGACATTACAACTAGAATAAAGTCAGCCTAAAATAAACGAAAGAAAAATAAAAACACATGTACAATCTATCAAGCTTACAAAGATACCCCATGCCTTTTAACAACAAGTATCAGTGGAATTTGGGTTGGAGGATATACACAATTGAAATTTTGGGAGGAAATACAGCAGAGGAATTAAGTGGAAATAATCAAATGTAATTGGGGAAAATACACCATTGGGAATGGGGAAAATACACAAGTGGAATTGGGGAAAATACATCAATGGAATAAGGGGAAAAAACACCAGTGGGTTCAGGGAGGAAAATACCAGTGGAACTGGGAGGTTGAAATACACCAGTGGAATAGGTGGGGGGAAGGATACATAAGATGGGCTCCCGGAAATACACCAGTGAAATACGAGGCAATATACAGGTGGAATAGGAGAAAATATACACCAGTACACCAGTACAATTTGGGGAAATACACCAGTTGGCAGTGCTGGGGGGTGGGTAAGGAATAATACCAGTGGAATATAGGGGGGGGGGGTGGTGGAGAGAATACACCAGTGGATTGAGGGGGAAACAATAAAATTCTTTGAATAACAATTTAATCACATATAAAACCTTATGGTTTTACAGCAGTCAGTATTGCAATCCATTTCCTTCTGTTCATACAGAATGAATCATTTACACCACTGACTAATTGACTGCCATAAATTTTGAGTGACATGTTTTCTGCAAAGTATGTTTCATGTATGTGCAAGTTTGTTGTGTTTGTGGTTTGACCTTTCTGGGCTGTGGTTTTCTTTTTGAACATCTTTATTACTGATATGAGCTCATTATTTATGGCCTTCGTGTCAAAAATTTTTGTTTTATAAATATTTTTTTTCCAAAAATTCTATGAGTAAGTAAAACTACACACATTAAAACCAAATATAATAATTACAAAATAAAATGACAAATGCATTCCACATTTAACCCAGGAATATTAACATTCTGAGAAGTTGCCTTTGTAAGTTTGATTTTTAAGAAAAGATAAAACATAAAATCAGCCAAATTCCTGACATTAATGTGAAATTTTAATTTTATATTTGACTATACATTGAATGTAGTTTATGCAATTGATGACCAAAACACTATAGCTCTCCAAAACAAGAGGTTTACCCCCTCCCCCCTTAAAAAAACCCCACAAGATTACCCCCAAAATTATATAGAGGTTCATCTACACCCCCCTCCCCAACCCCCTTCCAAAAATAATAAATAAATAAACTCCCTAGTATGAGAAAAATGACATGTAGGGATCAAAATAACCATTAATCTCCGCAGAGCCTAGTAACTGCAGTAAATAGTTACCATAAAGCCAGATATTCCATTCTGTTATGGAAGCCCGCGTATGATTTTTTTTTATAGTCTTTATCATAATTATAGGTAGCTGTTTTCACAGTAGAGTGTCAACCTAAATCTTATTTAAAACTGACTGCCCGTGAATATTGTAAAAAATAAATAAGGTAGACTTCTTTTTTTAAGTGCATTGCACTGCTTTTAATCTATTGTGGTTAATATGATAACAGAATTTTAATTCATAATCTAAAATGTTTTGTTCATAAAACCTAACCAAACTGTCGCACTGTGAGTCAGGGGCAATTTTTGCTTTGTATTAAAATGCATGTCACACATCTTTGGTGTAAAATTTGACGTGATATCTGACAATAAGTTTTTATATAATATAATTAAGAAATAATAAACCTAACAAAACAGATCCCCACCTCCCAAAATGAGTCACAGTAATTCACAGTAATGATCAAGCAAAGTGTTTGGAATAAAATTGTTTGTTCTTTACACATGTTTGGTCATATCTCAGGAGCCGTCCCACCTAACTTTCCTGGATAAACCAGTAATCACTTATTTTACCACAAGTGACAGACTACTGGTCCGAGACCATAAAACCGGACACTTTTTGAACATTTTTCTGTACAGATTTTATAATTTTTAACATAGAGACCTAAAAATTTGACACAGTTCATCTAGGTTCTTCTCCTAACTAACAAAATAGTTTGTTTATTTCTGATTGCATTGACTTTTATATCTGAGGCTTACAGGGAGGGTATCAAAATTACCTAAATTGTCTACACTACAGTACCATGTGTCCGGACAGATATGTACATGACATGATTTAATTCAGATAAAAGTTTGGGTGTTTCGATTTGTGATTTTCAACATGATAAACAATATTTCAGCAGCATTTTGAATGCTTATGTTTTGGACATTCTATTGTTTACTTGCAAATGATTATAGCTGGTATATGAGGTCATGCATTGCTTTCTTGACCCCCAAATTTCAACGTCAACATTTTTGAAATAGACATTGAAATATTACCATTTAAAGAGGTTGAAATAAAATTATTTACTTAATTATAGAAGAAACATGCATTTATTGTTGATAAAAAAGTGACTGACAACCATTTTACAAAGAAAATACTAAAGTATTTTATGGGCCGTCTGGGTTTGGTGGTTGTCCGGTTTTGGTGGTCCCCAACCAGTACTTATTCCACATGAATTCTGGTTCAGCAGTGAAAGAAAAATGACTATTAGACTCTATGTGGAGGATCAATTATTGTCACAGAGAAATTCCGCCTCACCCAGGGATCGAACTGGTATTTGAAATTTCAAAGTAACATAACATTAATTTTTGGTAAGTTTTGATGGTTCACGTTGCAACGGTTCGGCTTTACTGTTGGAGGCGGAAGACGTTAGGCATCCTTCTTAGCATTATTTCAAGTACAAGTGTATATTTTAAAAGAACCGCCTTTTTTATAAGCTAGTTGTAAAGGTTCTCAACCCAAGAATTTCTGACAGGATTCAAACCCACAGTGAGGGGCAAGTGGTTTGAGGTAACCATAACCACTTTGCCATGGAGGCCGCTAACATGACAAATTAAAGAAAGGGGAGACAGTGACATTGACAGTGCCAGAGAGACCAGTATCAAAAAATTACTTCAACATAAAATTATCAAATTCTCAGCATGTTCCTAGAGGTCATTTATGTTCTGGCCGACAATTATATAACCATATATAACCATTTTCTCATTCAAAGATACCTTTAAGGCATGCTTAACTATTTGTCACTAATAATCATACTAAACTATTTGTCACTTATAATCACACTAAATTATTTGTCACTAATAATCGTACTTAATAAATTTGAGAATGTTATGTTTTCTTCACAACTCTGCTCAAATTAATACGCATCATAAATTTACCTGGAACTTTAATAGCCAAGTGTAATAATTATGATATGAAGATGCTAATATGTACCAATTTGCCCTTCTTCCATTTTAGGAACAATTCATTATCAAATAAAGGGTGTCAAGGTAAAAATTTGAAGTTGGTCAGCCAATGGTAGGCCTGGCTCTAAACTGGTGGCAAAGGCTAATCACTTTCGGTTCCAGCAGGGTAAGGGTTAAGATTTTGTTTTCATTTGTTTGATTGGGTTTTACGTCACACCAACACAGTATAGGTCATATGGCGACATTCCAGCTTTACTGGTGGAGGAGGACCTCAGATGCCCTTCTGTGCATTATTTCAGGCACGAACAGGCACCTGAGTAGAACCACCGATGTTCCGTAAGCTAGCTGGATAGCTTCCTCACATGAAAGAATCCAAAGTAAGGGTTAAGAGGCCATCAGTAAAAAGTAAAAATTTGTTTAAGAGTGATCTGGCCTAGGACTACACTGGTACCAGAAGCAAATTATTAAATACTATACCATACCTCGTCAAATCTGTTTTGGTACCAATTATGTCTTTCTTCTATGGGCAGTTTTCTATGGAATATGTCAACACAGCAAGTGAAGCCGTTTTTCTCCAGACATTTACACAAACTCAATACACGCTGTGTATGCTTTTTGTCGTCTGCTGCGTACGTGACAAACACTTTTATATGCCAAAATGCTGAAAAATAGCAGAAACCATGAATACTACAAACATGTCTAAATAGAGGATATTGAATGAGTGTAGGTTCAATACTGAATTTATAGAACCAGTTGAATAAAATTATATTATGGGAGCCTCTGGCGAGCAAAATATTTTATTCAACAATTAAATAAATCCTGTTATGAACCTACATGAATATCATATTCTATTTATCACATACCTCCCGAAAAAAAAAATGTTATAAGTGCAAAAGAATAATTTTTCTTTGAGGCCCCTATACTGTAACACTAACATTTTGCACATCTTTACACTATGTTTGTTTAAAGCAAATGACTTCACATCAAAATATATGAATGACCGTACAATACCATTTTTACAGAGTCGCAAAATTGGCACGAATGTGTGATAAAACAAATTATTTCAAAACAAGCTGGCATGGCATTTTGTTTTCTTTAAGTCTTAATCTGAAAACTGCCTGTTTTGAAAACTGCCTGTTATCAAAATGACAAAACTAAGAGGCTAAAAGCAGAAACCAGTCAGATCACATCAGTGTGTCCGTGTTGGCATGGTTTTGTACAGGTGTCCTAGGTGTTATTATTAACATCACTGTCCAAAGTTTATATACTCAAATAGTCAATGAACAAAAAATATCCATAATAGCAATTTAAGTCTATGTTTTATGATATGACCAATTAATACAATAGAATAATCAGATTTTAAGAAATGTTACCTTTTCTGAACTCTGCTGACTTCATGTTTCCAGGCACAGATGCTGATTTTGTCAACTGCTGTGTCTGAGAACTACTTGTAGGGGATGTTGCGGCAGAATTTGAAGACGACTTAGATCTTAACGGAAATGTATTTGGTGGACCAGGTATCCTTGGACTTAACCTCATATGACCTTGACCCTCACCATGATGACCTTGGCCATGACCTATCATGCTTGGATGTTGTTGAGACATAAATTCCATTAGTCTATCGGGGGATTCTAGGTGCCCGGCTTTACCCTGGAGTAATTCCTCGTCGCGTTTTAGCTTCATCAGGTGTTTGTATCCATCTTCTGTCTGAATTGGCGTTTCATTGGCTAGTTTCTGTAAGTGCCCTAAAGGTGTAGATGGCGTGGTAGGTGTCGGACTTGGGCTAAAGAAGTCTGCTGACTTCAGTGATGGCGCCGGAATTTCTAACTTCAGACCTGCTCGTTCTGTCTGTCGACTAAACTGGTTAAAAGGCTGTCTGAAGAGATTCTCTGAATTGTTTGTGTGAACAGTTGAATTCATATGTGGCAACCCGTGCTGGTTATTGTACCGGGCCATACCTCTCATCAATGCTGCACCTGGTGGAACCGGATCTTCTCTGACCGAAGGGGCGTGATCCATCGGTTCCATGTCACGATAGTATTGAGAATGACTATCATGTCCGCGTACCATCATACTGTCGGACAGAGGCATCGAGCGCTGTCGTTTAAGGTCGGGACTTTCATGCTCGTATCCAGGCAACCTTGCGTTTACACATTGAGGTTCAAAGCTGTTATGTCTTTGGTAATTTTTACACGGTGAAGAAACCGGAATCTGCTGGTTTCCCGCAAACATTCTGTAACTGTTTCCAGGAGACATAGCTGCAGTCTTATGATGGTTTTGAGTGTATGACTGGAACGCCTCTTTGGAGTAGGGCATATTGTCACACGTTACACAGACGTAGTCGTCCTCGATGAGATCCCTATGGCGATGTTTTTTGTTTAAGCTGTCACGATAACTCTTCTCAATTTCTGTGAGATAAAAATAAATTAAGGCACAATCATTTTAACAGAAAAAGGAAAATATGATTATATTTTACCACTTTACCCAGCTTACACTTTCTGGAACTATCCATTATCAATTCTGGGGGAATCAAGATGAAAATTTAATGCAAAGACATGCAGGCAGGCTGGCCTAGCTCTATACTCGTGATAAAGGCTCAAAACGTGGGTTCCAGAAGACTCAAGGTTAAGATTTATATTTTGAGACTTTTGTAACATGCTTTTTAAGGCCAATTCAGAAACATAGTTTTACCTTACACTTTTAATAAGAAGACATCTTGAACAATTAAGCTTCATAACCATGTATCTCAAACTATGAATAACTATTAATCTCATTGGTTGAAGATTGAAAAATTGCTTTGATTATCATCCAATCATATCAGTTTTCACATTAGGCCTCTAGATCATAAAACTTTTTTCTGGGCTCTGCCTCAAATCTTCAGGATTTTCATTGGTTACACATCAGTGCACATTCTGTGCCAGTTTCTAACCAATCAAATGCCAGAGATTGGCTTAATTCCTAATAGTTGCTTCACAACATTTCTTTATAAACCTAGGACCCGGGGACTTACCAGGAATTCCCTCTCTGAGTTCATCAAGAGCATCTGGTCTGTCGATTTCTTCTAAAGCGTCGTACACCTGATTGACTGTACTACCCTGTTTCTGGCTGTAGTCTTGTAACACTTTAATAGTATTTCTCCCATGTTGTGACTGTTGACTTTCGAACACCTGAAACGAAAATAAAACATTTTTCAGTATGGTGTATCATATCAAGGGTGTCACCCTTATCCGTTTAAACGGGTACAAACAGGTTTTAAGGTAAAAACCGGTCAGGAAACTCGCTAACCGTTAACAGAGGTTAGTATTAGACAAAGTACCAATTTTGAAAAAAAAATATTCGTAACGTTATTATTCTAAAGTTTTTAATAACAAGATATGACATTCTATTTGTATTTCAGTTGTTTTCCCCGATTACATGCTATCTGATCATGTACCGTACTGTGCTAACTGAAAATAGTTTCTTTATAATCAGACTTCTGTTGTAATCATTGTTGAGTACAACAAAATACAAACAAAATTTTATATCTTGTCATGAAGAAACAAAGTATGTTGAAAATCTAAGAATTTTATTACTATGCTCGTTTAACACGGTTATTATGTTGCCGTTAAACGTTTATCATTTTTGCTAACCGTGACACCCCTATATAATATATTGTGAATTCACTTAATTTCGTGGACGTGAAATTTTGCGGTTTGTCACAAGGAACATTTTCCTGGGTATCTGATTTCATGGACTGTTTATTTTTCCAAAAGGTAAAATGTAAAAAATCTGATGCGAAATAATCTTACAGCAGACGGAATGAAATTCTGTTGGATCTTAAATTCGTGGATTGACCTTTAAGTTATATAATATCATTTTATCACTTTAAAGTATTTAATTATGAACCTACATATTGATCAAATATCCAAAATAAGAACTGTTTACAGTAAAAAAGAATTTTTTTTTTCCATAATTTATATATAATACATTAACAAGCTTATAGTTTGATGCTAACATTTAGTGCATCTCTACGTTATGCAAATTATGGCACATACTATTTTTTATGGAGTCACAAAACTTGCACGGGCATATGTTCCAACAACAAAGGTGATACATTAGATAAATGGTTTTACTATAAATTGTTGAGCCATTGTCCGGTTCTCTTTATGACGAGTACCATCAAGAATGGTGTCTTCAAAATATATAAATAAACTACTAGTATATGTATACCACTTTATGACTTTAATGTAAAACATCATCAGACGGCACAGATGTGCCCCAATTTTCAAATGGACTGTTCCAAATTCAAAGCAGGGCAAATCCACTAGAAGTTTAGGGGCAAAGTCAATACTTCCCTAAAGAAACGTATATTGTAATATTATTGTTAATAAACAAATATTTAATTATTCTCTAACAATGTACAGAAAGACAGCAGTTTCCTATATTAAAATACAATTTTTTTTCTCATAATTCATTTAAAACAAAACTATTATATTTGCTGTTGGCTTAACCATAATTCTAGACATTCAATTAAATTCACTTTTCACCTATTGTTATCTGGCAAAAAAAAATCAAATAATCAAATGTAAAACCCATTATATCCCCAGCAGCCGGAAACTCTCTGTTAAAAATGTTAATTTCCAGTAAATATTTCACGAGAGCTTTTCAACAACACTTCCTTGTAGACGCCTTGTTTTAAAATGAGGAAGAAAATCAAAGTGACGGTGGAAAAAAATTCATAAAATGTAAATAGGACGCTCTTTTGGAAGCCCTCCGTTACCACCATTGAGTCAAGTCTGCTTTTACCCACATCCTGCTAAATTTATGAAATGGAATTGCCCAGCTTTGAATTTGGACCAGTCAATTCAAAATTTAAGGGATGTCAACATGAAAATACAAAAATTGAGCTTAGCCATACAGAGCCGGTTTTGACTTTAGCCCACTAAAAATTTTTGTTTTGGTTT